ATTGTTGAGAGCGCTGAGCGTGTAATAAATACCGGAGATACTACTAAACCATTTCCGATTTCCAACGTTTCATTTCACAGACAGTGTTTTTTGTAATATAACTTTTAGAAATAAAACCTTGATTTATGAATTCATATACGCGTTAATAGCGCACACTTATTGGACGCCTTTAAGCCGGCGAAGTATATTAATCGCTTTCAACTCAACTGAAATACACGCCAATGTTGGTGATTCAAGCTTGAAATATTTTAGGTGAAAGTTCTTTTTTTAGAAACAATTGTGTTGCAACGCACACAAAGAATATGCTACGGTGCCAGTAGGAGTTACACATTTTTTCTCTCGGGGAACATTGACGCGAACAATCGAGCGATATGGCGGTGTAACACAGAGACTTACGAAACACACTAGTATGGTATTTCATCGGGCCGCTGGGTGAGCGATTTCAAACGCATATAAGTGTAACAATGCAATGGAATGTTGTCAACGGACAATATAGAAATCGTAAAGAAACTTTGAAAATTATTAAAAATTGCGCATAATTTTGTTTTAAATGTTTGCATGGTATGTTTTCAACCCATTTATTAAGTTGTAAAAAACAATAACGTTAGAGTATTTCGGTGTTTTGATTGACACGCCCTCGGTAAAGTTACGTGACCTACATTAAGTAGTACTTATTCCCGTGCCCTGAAGAACGTAGAGAGTACAACCTGAATCGAGTCATTATCGGGAGATGGACATCATGTTCTGCCGCAGAGAAAATCACTATGAAGATTGAGATACGAATTTAATTTGTGTATAGTCATAATACAAAGCTCATAAGATAAGGTGGCGATGAAAACAATATATTTACATTCACAGCAAAGATCCGGCAAGGAAAACAAATACGATAGGGTGTCGGTACTACACTTGAGCCGCGGAGGGGGAAGAAAACAAAACAGATAGGGCGGACATTTAATTTCCATTGGTTAACTCTGAGTGGCAAGAAAGGGGAAAAACTGACATCAAATACTGGATGTACATATTTGAGGCAATAGTTTCCTCCACGAGAATCCACCAGCAAAATAAAACTAACGTTAACATTGGGGTTAAGTTGGCTGCATTCTTGACCACGAAAATACTATGTTTTACGTTCTTCATTAAAATTACACAGTCGATGGATCCATGCAAAAAATACTTTCATTAAATCAACCAAGTGGAACTCAGTGACAAGACTTATAACAATGCTTTAGTTCAACCCACGTGTAAATCCCAAGCCGATTGTCGGGACCATTTTTTGACTTCTGACTCCTGATAACGTATCAGGGGGGTCGTTAATTACGGTCTTAAAACCAATCAGAACCGTGTATATAAAACAAGCTCAACATCACACACTCTCTCTCTCTCTCTCTCTCTCTGTGTTATACGCTCGTCTGAACTCAGTCCGCCTAGGCGGATGCACCGCGTTCCTCATCTTTGAAACTCACACCGTTGCTAACAATTCATATAATTCCATGTTTGCAGAAGGATTCTAAACATCGCGAGAGTGGTCGAAACTAGGATGAGACACAATAAAAGTAAAGCGACGTTGTTGGTGATTGTTATGCTAGCAATTAGCTCGTCATGTGATAGCTTGCCATTGGAGAGGACAATACGAGACTCCCTCAAAGGTACGTACTTTGCACGGATACTAATACCCCGATCTTGTGCCACCTTGCCTTAAATGTGCCGCTTTGTCTACTTGCTGCAACAACTTGACTCACAAAGACCGGGTGTGTCGGATTGTGACGGTTAAAATGGGTTAATCTGGTAATATATTTTGCCACTTTCTTTGCTTGTTTTTTTTATTCCCTGGTGGGCAAGTGTTTCAACTTTACTTTTTGCGCGCTTCGTATGGGGTTATGTGTTATACAAATTTGTTGGTATTTTCAGCATATTTTGGCGCTATCGTATATCTTACTCGGATTTATTTAGTCTATATTATTTCACCGCCTTTCCGCCCTCTAATTTAACACTCGGTACGTAATTCATTCCAAGGGACATTGCAGGATACAAGTTTCTATGTTGCAACTCAATAAGCAGCTGTAGCACTTGTGGGCGACAGAAAAATTGTGTTGATGAGAATTGCCATTATTGTTCGATAACACAATGACTGAGAATTTCCACGTGGTCCATTTCCATACAAAGCTGCTCTATCAATTTATAATTTTAAGTGACAACATACTAGGTAATCGGGATTTAAAACGGTGACATGGCCTGGGGCCAGCGTTGTATGTTTCATAGCTCAGTAACGGTGACGATACCTAGACTAGCTTTTATGATTTTAAGTCGACCTCTACTTCGAAAGATTCCATCTGCACATGGCTGTAGCAATATCAACAACAAAACGGCACAAGAAAAAATATTCAAACAATATATATTGTTGCCTGATGTGTTACGTTGCAGGAACAACGCGTTATATTTATGATCGCGCCGCCCCTCCAAAACTAAACCGACACTGATTTAGGGCGGTGAGGTGAAGAGGTTTTAAGAGAGTAATAAACAATTTAAGACTCAAAATCTGTTGTCAGCTTTGTTTGAGCTTTGCCTTGAGGGCACACCCACACTGGATAGTTGCTCATTTGCAACTGTTATTCCTTGCGTGCGAACTGATAACTTATTTAGATTCCGTTTCTCATGTACGTCAAACAATTAACAACCTTGACTCTTACTTGAAGCGCCCGGGGAAGATATGTTCTGATATACATATAAATATTTATTACTTCCAAACTTTAAATATCAGAACTTATCTAAAAATCTCCGTTTTCATCATAATTATGTTTGATAAATGTATGTCATTATGATAGTAAATTCCCTTGACAGGGGCTAACAGTTCTCTCTCACGTTCGTATCATATTCGGTATTAATATGCAAATTATGATTATTACAGAGCCAATCACGTGTCGCTAAAGCGCAGAGAGGCTATATCTCAACAGTTGAAGAAGTGAGAAGAAAAAAAATCACAGAGTTGTTGATTATAACTTGTTCCACTGTTTGTTTTTATCTCAACAGGTAGTAAGCCATATTTCACGTCACCGCAAAAGATGAGCCGACGGTTTATCGCCGAGCCTGCTGGGAAAGGTGTGACGGCTCGTTTCCACTGTCATGCAGACGGCAACCCAACGCCTCGTATCAACTGGTTAAAAAACCACCAAGAAATGGATGCAAGTAACATCCGAATTGATAAGGTTGGTATTTCACTGAACTTGAAGGCATTGACCACCCGATACTGTTCTGGATAGAGGGAGGTGGGGGGCAAGGGTTATTTTCGTTCAACGTAATTGCATTATTTTTTGTTCGTACAACGTATATAAAAAAAAAAATTCCGTAAATCTGTAATCACAGGCTAGACGTACAACGTAATCAATCAAATATTTTTTTCGTACACTGTAAAAATGTGTCATTTTTCTCTGTATGTACAAGAATTTACATCCAAATAAAATAATCGTAAAAAATAATCTAGGGAAATTACATTTTAGAAACTGTAAAACGACTAGATGACACAATTCACTACAAAATTTAATGTCAAGACGTAAAAAGCCCTCTAACCGAATGAAGAGCATTACGAGGGTCATATGCGCATGCGTCTCTATACACGGCGCAGTAGTGGCGGAGAATTTGAGTCGGAGAGCTCTTTGGACCATTCAATGTTTCATTTTTTAACACTGTAAACTGTAAAACGTCTTTTTTTCCTTGTAAATTGTAAAAAAAAAACATTTTTATTTCCCGTAAAACCGTACTAGCTACCTCCCTTGCCTCCCCTCTGGATAGTACAGATCACAATAAATCAGCAACGAGATAGCAACCTCGATTTACAGTTGAACCATTACCTTGTTCGATATGTTGCCAGTCAACAAACAAATGAGCTCATGGTGACTACGCTGATAATCTCAAAAGCTACAGTGCTACAATACCCTATTCAGTTCAAAAAGCACGTTGGGGTTCGGTAATTGGGGCATCTCAAAACGGTTACAGCGACATCGACGTCGCGCGCCACCGCTATGAGAGACCCATGCGACGTAAATATTGCAAGATACTTACACAATTTTTTTCAAACACGCGCTGCACGACGACTGAGGCTTATAATTACTGTTCAGAGAAAAATTCTCATTTGAATTTAGTTACTGGGGTTGCTTTAGCTTCAAGTTGACATCAATGCATCACAAGTTGTTCCGCGGACATGGGCGTCGTCGTGGGAGACTACACGCCTTCGTCCGCCCACCGTCAGATAAAAGACTAGTACCCTGCCATTCCGATCAAAGTGTGTCGTTATTGTCACGTCCATGTATTGCATATGTTTTGTAGGTTCGTATTAAGAAATGGAGTCTAATCTTGGAAGACCTTCTGCCATCGGACAGTGGGCTATACACATGCATTGTGGGTAACCAGTACGGGTCAATAAACGCTACGTATGAACTAGAGGTCATTGGTAAGTTGGTCCAAACACAGACATAGCTTATATAACTATAATAATGTTTTGGGGAGGGCCATTATTATTTATATGCCCGTGATACACAATTTACGTCCGAAAACTTGCAGGATCGTTTGAGAGTACTCACGAAGGGTGCTGTCACTGGCTCGACACTTTTCAACAAGCGACCATGCATTTTCCCGCGATATCTTCAAACCTTATGGTCCAACAAACATGTGCTTAGGATTACGAATTATAGTACGAACAATATGTCGAATCACGTGTCTTGTCATGTCATATGTTACAAGAATGGCCAATCACGTTTTTATAGTGGGACAGTGGCGGATCCAGCAAAATGTATTGGGGGGGGGGGGGTCTAAGCTACGCTTAAGATATACGGAGCGTAAATCGCAGAGAAACTATGCGTAATCCAGATGATACGAATCGTCATGCGTTTGGGGGGGGTGGCTCCCCTGGCCCGCCCTCTGGATCCGCCACTGTAGTGGGAGGGGAGAGGGTCATTATTTTCTCATGTTCTGTATAATCTGGTAGTTATTCTTCAAATTGTTTCTCTGCAGCCTATCTACATGTCTCTAGGCATTGTGACGTTACACAAAAAAACAAGGCAAATATAAGCGGAAAAAATATAGAAAACTCGATATTATCTACGACGAGCGTCCATGCCTTACTGACGATTTGTTTCGTATCACGAATTTTTTTGGTCGAAGAAACAGCAAGAAAAACGTCATATATGTTTATTGATATGAATTCTAATATTGTTGAAGGATTTCAAAAAAAATTACATTTAATTTAGTGAGTTCCCAGGGTAAATAATGGGAACTTCTCTCCCATAATGCATTGCGCATATGTGCGGTAATATGTGTTTATTAATTTTATTTATATTTTGCACCACAGCACGAGTGATAAAAATACCACGACTGCAGTCAGGGCTACCAAAAAACCAGACGGCGTACATTGGGGACAGCGTGACATTCAGATGTCAGGTACAGTCACGTGACTCCTTAGCGCCGCATATACAGTGGTTAAAGCACACAAGTACATCGAACAATGACGTCGGCGATGCGTTTTCTCTCTTACAGGTAAATCGTCAATTATTTCCATAACTTAGAATATATTCATCAGTCACCGACGAGGGCGTTTTTTAAGGCTCGTTTACGAGTGATGGGTTTCGTAGGTGACATTTTCACCTCGAAGTAATCAAACGATGGTAATTGAGTGAAGCTGGTCCGTTACGGAATTTCACCGATTTGACCATTGGCGCGATGAACTATTTTGAAAACTTATACTATTAGTCGCGCCACGCACTTACATATACATCACTGACAAAACCAACAGTTGGCGACTGTTCTTGACACTATCTACGTCGCAAGATAATATTTTGTCTCGGTCTATGACCAAGTCTGGGTTTTAGGAAAAGATAGATTTTACTCATTAATCTCAAATTGCAGATGACACACGCACAATAATACAATTTGTGTCACCAAATAAAATGATGGCAAGCAGCAAGATTGTCCACGTCAACAGACAATGCTGGTTTACGTTAAGGTTCATTATGTTACACGCCATTAGTGGACGAACAGGCCGTTAAATAACTGACCTGAAATTGATTTTATTATGTCTCTGTTTCTAACGCATTGAAGTGTACATACTCACTTTACGCTGCTGATTCATCCGAATAGTCGGCACCACCACGTAATACACCGAACCATTATTCTGATGTACTCGACCACTACGTGCTCAGATAATAATGCCTTGAATTAAATTGCTTTTTATTTCGATGTGTTCAACCAATTATACAATAAGGTAATAATGCACGCATTCTCGTTTTTTTTTTATTCCAGCGTGAATGGCCTAAACACCCCGAATGGAACTGCGTTGCCATGACGAGGAATTTGTTTGAAAAGTCGCCGTTTATTTGTATTGCGGTATGTTCGTTTTTTATTTTATTTTAGTGGAGGAGTGGGGGTGTAGTGTCAAAAAATATTGGTGCATTTTGTGCATTTTTTTATTCAAGATGACATAAACCAACGAAAGATATATTTAATAACTGAAAACTGTTCTTTCCTATCGCTGTTGTACATTATTCCATTGTTCGGGATTTGGTGCACTGGTTCTCCGGAAATGTTCTAAATCCGTGTTGCTGGCAGTTTTCAAGGTTGCAGTCACCCGAGGCAACGCTAATTGATTATCCAAGTGATAGTTTTCGTTTCAAACATGTGATGCATTGCCAGTTTTCAATAAGCGTTATCATTGTCTGTAACTGTCCCATTAATTCGGCGTTTCCATTGCAACGTTCTGATGTTCCTCGGTCATGGTCGGTGTTTTGCCCTGGACTCGTGTGATCTGGCACAGTTCATGTTATCAGCCTTCGTTTATTGCGTCATTACGTGCTCATGATTATCGACAGACCACGTGATTATGTCACTGATGCAGGCTAAAGGGTCCTGACCTGAGGTGTACAGCCGCAGGGGAGAGCTAAATAAGTTGGTGAAGTACGCGCGCCGTTGCTATCGACGTAACCGTATATCATCAGCGAGGCTTGACTGCACGTCATGGAGTCCCGCTGGCATAGCGGCCGATCTGTCGCACACAGAGACTTAGTGTTACGTCACCGTTGAGCGTGTGCACGTGGTAGATATTTTCCAACAAGCAAATTGAATCCAAAATCAGTTTTGACAAAATTTTACAAACGCCCTACTCAGACATTTTTTTCAAGCAATATTGGGGCCACAAACTACCAAAACGTCCGATAATTTGAATTGGTCCATATAACTATGTAATTTAAAGTACATTCCCTCCGAGGCATGACACGTAATTTATGGGTCAGGAAAGAACACGGTAAACCATCATGGATTTACTTTACGATTTGGCGTCAGCACTGTAGCTCAGGTCAACCACAACGAACTCCTTATCTTGAGGGTGAAATCTTTGAAATTCGTTCATGCAAGCCATTGTGAAATTATATGCTTCGGAATTGTGGTAATCTGAACAGACGCATAACTTTAATATAATATATTCTCGTGTTATTAGCCGGAAACCGACATAGGTCAGCCACCGATCGATCCAGAGAAGCTTCGTTTGACCAACGTTACTTTTGAGGACGCCGCTGAGTACACTTGTCTGGCTGGGAACGCAATTGGAATAGCTCGTCGCAGTGCATGGCTTACCGTGAAAAGACCTCCAGGTAACATACTGTTCACTCATCCGAACTTTATGAAGCTGTAGTAAATGTGGGAACATCTAAATCTAGTTAACTAGGCATAGTTATTTGGCGACCGTCTTAGAACCCCCAGGGCACTCCCACAGTATTGGTATGTGCTACTATGGGGGGGGGGGGGTGTTAGCCATTTCACGGTGGTTCATTGCTCGCTAAATATATTGAAAAATATGGCAGTCACGGTAGATACAGTGTACCAGTTTTGTGTCGATCGATTAGCTGAAAAGTTAATTATGTTTGAATATCACAGAAATTTGCATTTCGATCCACAGAATTTACCACAATCATTTGTTTGCCAAAATCCTCTTAAAATCATACCCACTTTAGACAGACACATATTTGAAAGATTTTGTTAACACAACTAGCTTAGCGGC